ATTTACAAAATTAAAGATAAAACTCATCTTTTACCATTGGAAAAACGAAAAACTCTAGGCCATCCAAAAAAAAAGTTCGCACGGCATTATTGCCATGATTTATTATTAACATTAACTGTTTTTTTTTGTGTCAGTTTTGTGTGGAGTATTTTCGTTAGAGTATGTGAGTGCTAGTCATGTACTATCTACTTATTCATGATGAATTTGGTGATCAAAAATATTCATACCCATAAAAAAGAGAAACACGCAGACCAAAAGATAGAGTCTCATGATTAGTATTTTTAGATGATTTCTGCAATTTATCTATTTTTCAGTCGTTCTAAGTTGAACGAATTATGAGAAAAAGTTGATAAAAAAATTGATTGAAACAGTATTTCTTTATTAAAAACATTCCCTGTAAACGTGGTAGTACGTCTTTGGAAGATTATTTAAAAGGGTTTTCATTTATTCTTCGCACAAAAATGCATTTTCGCAGTTATTGAACAATATTAACACGGAACGTGTCATTTTCAAAGAAGTCTTTCGCAGATAGAAACACATTCACTAAAGAAACGTTTTCCATATTGTTGAAATGCACCCTACTCTTATGTATCTTTTGCCTAGTCCTATAGCATGTGCCTTTTTGTAACCAAGAATCTAGTTCTTTTTCCAGACAGATACAAAGTGTTGTTCGAAGTAAGCTCAAAGAAAGGGCACAAATATTATACGAAATTGCATAAAAACTTTCTATGAGAAGGTTTTTCGATATAAATGTCCTCATAAGGAAAATGTCTCAAAAAAAAATGAACAATAGAAGCTACGACAGTGTTAATTCAATACTCAAATTTATCAAATAATACCATTTTGGAATTTAACAATGTGAAGCATTGGGATATGTTCTTGTTTGTGCCCAGGTTCAATTTGCAACTAATAAGGAAGTTCGTATATGACAAAATTTGCATGTAAATATCCGGTGAGAGAGAGAGAGCGATGAGCAAGATCGAAACCGATCGTTTTCATCGAATATTGTATCTCTCCTTCTAGAAAATTTATAATTAAACTAAAGGAATGATATTCTATGGATATAATGAAGTCGATGATGAGTCCTGTGATTTATATCTAAGTGATGACAGCAATGAGAATGACTTCAATTTCGATTACGATGAACTAGTCGGTGACTTAGATGAACTTAAACTTTCTGATGAAGATTTGGATGTGTATGCAGAAGAGCTGAATTCAATGAGAAAAAGAACTCAGTCTTCAAAGGATTAATTTGAAAAGAATTTTCTCGTTGCCGCTGTTCTCTTACTCAGCATGAAGAAGTATGACAATAAATATGTTTATCTTTTTACTTTTATTTTTTTCACCAGTAGGTCAGTTAGATTATGAATGATGACTACAGACTACATCGATCAATGTATGTTTTTTTTTGAACACTCTCATCGTCGAAGAATCTTAATCGAACAACAAATAAAATATTTAGACAAATTAATTTAAAATTTGAACAAGTTGAAACTACGTCTAGACCAATTTATTGCAAGAATGGACAATAATGAAAGCATATCCCGAATGATTAAACGAATCGTTGTTTTAGTTTTGATCATCGCCGGAGCTCCCTGGAATGACTTAGGATAACGTTATTCAAGCTCTATTGATTTTGCAAATCATTACATGCAAAAGCTTCTCTACAAGAGGAAAAGATCCACAGCAAATTATGTATTTCCATATATGTATTTGGATATATTTTTATGTAGAGTGCTATTTTTTCTACAATTTACGATTCAGCTCTACGATAAGGACATGGAGTGGTTACAAACAGAAAAAAATTTAAGCACGAGAACTAAAATTCTAACAAATGTATTTATAAATGAGGTTACCAAACATAAGGAAATAAAATATTTGGAACATCATGCTCGTACTTTTTCCAGTCTTCACCATATCTCTTGCTACAATAATCTCCTAATTGGGGTGCAGCTCTTTTCGTAAAATCCCACATATGGCAGATGAATAGCAAAGCTGCTAACCAGTAATTTCCACTTGTCAGAACCAGTCCAGTGCGCCATAGTGTATAGCTCCCATAATTAATATGACGTGCGAGAGAAAATAGACCACCGGTATAGAGTTTGCCTTGATTTGCTGGCTTATCTTTGAATTGTTTACGCTGAAGTTCCGAAATCAATTCGGTGAAAGTACCTACAATAAACAAAGAAATACCAGCATACTGTGAAATGCCTAATTCGCTTGATGGACTATAGATTAAAGATGATAATGAAGCAAGAGAATTGACCACTGTATTGTAGATACATATGAGTATGACACTAGAATAAGGTACTCTTACTTCCAAAATGTAGGTCATGCTAATAATCTGTTTCAGGGCACAGCCTGCTGCCATAGCGACCAGAACTGTGCCTTTAGGCCCAGCTGGAACGGTGACGATACCACATGTGGAGAGAATTTGGTGACCATATCCCTGGAAAAGTAAGAGATATTGTAGATATGGATCAATGGCACGAAGAGCTGAGAAGACAAAGCGAGGAAGAGGAGTGGAGCCTTTGTTTGAACGATCAAAGAAATCCGCTTTTTTTGATTGATTTGACATGACAATCTATGATGGAGAAGAATAGTTTTTAATATTATTCGAATACGAAATTACGAACTAATTTTGTATACTGGTAACGACTTTGGTTATGATGGCAGTTATGTTGTTGCTATTACACAACTAATAAACAACATCAACGACGACGATTTACTCGTTCTGTGTATGTCTTTTAATGATGAAAAGAAGGAAAGAAAAAACACTGTTGTAGAATCGTAAGTTATCAAAGCTGTGTTAGAGAAAAATAAATACATAAAAAAAGACTCGTTTCGATAGAAGGCACAAAATAACTCATATATTGCATGTGAGCGATAGTTGGCGCCAAGAATAAGGAAGAAAAAAGTATTACAAATAACTTGGACATGAAAATATTAAGATTTGCAGTTTTAAGAAGAGAAAGAAAGAATTTTCAAAGATTAAAGCTAGCCTTCCATTCGATTTGCATCTACTACTCATTAGCTTAACACATTTGCGACGTGTTTTTTAAATTTTTTGAACTTCTCTCATTCTATACTCCCTTGTTACCCTTTGAATCGTCAATTCTATTTCTAACTCCCTTTTTTCAATGGACTTTGTTTTGATGACGCTTTGTTACACATGTGACTATTGATAAAGAAATAACATTAGAAAAAATCCAACTACTTGTTATTCTTTTTCCTCGATTGGAATATTTTACAATAAATTTCGAGAAAGAAGATTTGAAATCAATCAGACCATTTCTATTATCAATATTCATCATTTATCTTCATTATATTTTACATATTCACGTAGAGATTTAACAAAAAAATTGGAAATTTTGATTGAATCAGAGAATCTTCTTCATGATCATACTATAAAAGTTATTAATCGAAAACTGTATTTATCATAATGGGATTTATTTGTTAAACTGATATCTTAAACTTGAATATCACTATTATTCTTTTTTTCGTTAATAAATATGAAATTTGATCTAGAAGCTTATTAGCAGTTAAATGAATATATTTCGTTAAAAAACTGTAGATCTGTTTATTACACTAGATAACAGTCAAAATAACAGAATATTAAATTTTCGTATCAATCAATTTTTTTCATTTTTCACTATAACATAGAATGAACTGTTAGTCACGCTCCATTGAAGAAAACTTATTATTTTATACGAGTGATAATGAATAAATTCTAGTCTTTTTTCGTATCAAAACGTAGTTACTTTTTTGTATCAATCGATAGAAACAACATGTTTATTTGGTTAGTATTTTAAAAGAATTTCAACATTGTACATAGACTTCGCTTTCTGTTATTCATTCGATACGTATTTCTTTCTGTCATCTTATGGTCGAACACATTTTTGTCTTTCCACTTTTCTATTTGTACGCAATTTATTAAAATCAGATATTTTACATTATTCAACATGGAACAGTTGAAACAGTGACAAACTAATAGTCTTGAAGATTCTGATAATACCAAAAGAAAACAGTTGTATGGTAAATATCAAACTGAGTATTTACTGTCATCATTCCATTTTTTTTGCGAAAAACAATCGATACCAATTGGTCACTTTCTATATATTTTTTTCTTTCAGTATTTAATCTTTTATTTTTTAGTTTCTATAAACAATCTTCTATACTCATTTCGAAGATTTATCAAATGAATATCAATTTCTGTATTATTCGAATCTGCCAAGAAACAACGAATTACATTTCCAACTGAATTGAATTGAACTATTTTGACATACATATTTCTTCGGTTAGTAATCTTCAAATCTTACGTCATTCTACTAGTCATCAGATAACATATTTAGATGCTTACCGATGGCTAAATTTGATGCTGTCTCATATGCCAAAGTGAAGTATTTTTGATCTTGAATATATCTATTCTGCACACTCTGATGAAAATGTCATATCTACCTATGATATTCTAATCAAAAATTCATATATTTATCTTGGATCGAACAACAATGGTTTTTTCTACTCAACATTCTTGTAGAGAAAAGAGAAAGATGATATCATTTTCTATCCAACCAAACCATGTAAGTAAAATAAATAAATTTATTCATTATAATCTATGCTTTAATATTTTTACTTTTAGGAGAAAATATTTTATATTAGAAGAAATATTACATGCTACTATTGTTATCTGTAACGACGATATAGAATTACGATAGAAATTACGTTCTGTACTGCTTTTTACTATATCTGAGAGAAGAAAATTTGGTTTTCTTGAAAAGAAGAGTGATGCTTCGGAAAAGATGCTATAATATCTTTTATTACTTTTTTCTTCTTCATACTCCTGTTCGAAATTGAGTCATGTAACACACTCTAGAAGAACATTTTGAAAATCAAAATATCTTGTTTATTTTGATATTTTTTCAAATTCAGCGAAAACAGCATTATGATCGGTTGCTCCTTCTGTGTCAATAATCGAACATTTGGTCAAATTCCAATGATGATTAAATACGAGGATGTATATAAATATAATCAATTCGTGTTCCATATGGACATGTTGCTACTTGTTCATTCTTCAATGTTGGATTTATCTTTTTAAAAGCATCTTGATAATTCCATTCATATGTTATTAATTGAGTTAAATCAAAATGAGGTTTTTCCCAATTAGATTTTTCACGTCTTTCAACAACAATATTACGATAATAATCATCTGAATAATCTTCTCTTGTCAATGCATTCATATCACCCATTAGTATATCAATATTATGTTCATATGGATTAAATTCTTTAATTTGTTTTAATCGATCATCTTCATCTAAATAATCTAAATGTATTACAGCAAATGTTACATTTTCAATAGCATCTAAACAACATTAGAGTATAGATCTGAAACCACCCACACAACAAAAACTTGTTTCCTGAACAGAATAACATCGAATTGGATATCGAGAAGCAATACCATTACAAAAAGTTCCATTAGATGGTCCATATACAGAAAAAGATAAAGAAAGACGTCGAGAAAATTCTTTCCATTTATCATTATTTTGAATTTCTTGAACGGCGATTATATCGAGATTGAATGGTTCAAGAATTGATATTAATTCAGAAATATTACTTGACATACTAGGAGGTCTATCAAAAGAATCTACATTGATTGTTGCTAAACGGAATGTTGTCATTATGTATGAAGAAGTCAAATGAATCGTGTACTTTACTTTTGTTCTCTGCATTTGATATAATCATTTTGAATCTTTTCGTCTTATCATACTATCTCTTAAAAACCATGTTAAATTATTCTTCTTAACATTCAACAAAAAATTTCTTTTTCATTTCTGAACTTCTTATGAATTCGGTTCATCATGTCAACCTTAAAACAAAATATCATGAAACATCTAGACGATTTGTTAGTGACGTAACCAAGGAGTAGCTGGGGAGCTGAGCCTCCACTGAATGAAGCCTCACCAGCTAAACTCTTCTACGATCTCTACTACCGACATAGTGCTCGATCGTTTGAACTCTCCCCCGTCAAAATCCTGGCTAGGCCACTACGATTTACAGACTCGAATAATGCTTTGAAAGTAAAGACTTGAACAGATGAACTGTCTATCATTCTATTTTACTGGCCTTTTTTTAGTTATTATACAAATCGAAATATAGTTTAATAATCGACTGATTATGGATAAATTGTAGTCTAAGGACATTATTATGCACGATCAAAGTAACCGAACAATATGAAAATTACTTTGTAGTTAAAATAGTTTTCGGAAAATTTTTAATAAAAAAACAAATTACAATCAGATGAAATCCATTCAAGGATAACGATCTTCGAGCATTGTTTTGTGTTGATGTACTTATAGACATTGTTGATATTGTCAATATTACTGTTGTTGTTTACAATGTTGAAGTACTGCTAGTCGTTATGATTTGAGTTGTAGTGATGGTTACTGTTGTTATTGTTGATATTGAAGTAGTTGTTAGAGAAAGTGTACTACAATGTTTTATTGTAATATCATCAAGAACCACTGAGACTACTACTGGTGGTTGTTGATAAACCGTAAAATAAAAAGATTCGATACATACAACATTGGGTACGGGCAATATAATAACTTGCCATCCTTGGACATCATCCGACGATATATGCCACAAAGATGAACCGTGACAACCACCTACTGTTTTTGTTGGCAAGTTGATTTGATATGACACATATACCAGATTTCTTTTCTATAGCACATTATTGAACTCTGTCAATTGAAGTGAAACAAACAAGCAAGATTCGTATTATTAAATGATAGTGCACGTCGGAAAGTGAATAGGAAAGATAGTAGTTGACGCATCAGCTTGAAAACTGATGTCATATTCCCCATGATTATACGGAAAGGTAAGAGAAACACAACATTTCTCAGCTGATATTGTTTGATTGCACTGATTAGGAAGAATATTGAATGGTGTCATTAAATTATACGTATAGCCACAATTTATCATACCTTTGAAGAGTATTACATAATGACAACACTAAAATGAAAGTTGTATATAAAAACATCATACAAAAGAGTACAAATGTTATACTGTTTTGTAAGACGTGATTGTAAGGTATGCGATTTACTTCGATTATTCTATGTCACAAAGTCATATAATGATGCTTATGAATCAGACCTATATTTTATAAATGACTTTTTAAAGTGATATTTCTCATGAAATGTATGAATAATACAAGAATCTATTTGGGTTAATCCACAGGTACCCAATGACTTTTTGTGTAAACGCTCTAAAAAACGCTGTTGGTCAAAAAAAAAGACAGCTTCTCTGATGAAAACTTGAAGTTCCAGGTCGTTTTTTCGAAACATGCACACGTTTATTCCAGATAATCGACAATGATCGAGTTTTTCTAATTTTTCTAAATTTAGAGTAATAGAAAAAGGGATTCTATTCAATACACTTTCACTGACTCAATAAATATGCCAATAATCACATTGATAAACGATTGACGTGAGTGATCACTGAGTATCTATTACTGCAAAACAAACTTTATCTGAAAAGTCAAAGTAGTTTTCTATTAAAAAAGCCGAAAAAGTTCAAAAAAGGTGGAAAGGTTCCCAGAACGATTGATCCAACAACCGGTCCTGTCAGATTCTGTATGGCTTCCATCAGAATCCGGGTGACGGAATCGCTCACGAACTCGTAGGGTCGGATTTGATCGGAAACCTTAAAAGATCCCACACAAATGATCACTGAACGATTCTGTGACACCGATTCTCATCGAATTTATCCATCTAAATTGACAGCACTAATTGAGAAAGTTTAATACAAACTGAAATACTTGAGGTAAATTGAGTCAATGGATTGTGGGTGTGAATAATCGTTCTAGTCTACACCCACACCCACCCCTTAATTCTGTGAGTGTGGGTGTGGGCGTTAATCATCTCTTTTTCGACACAGAGATATGCGCATCCACAACCCTATATATAACGAATAACAAAGTGAAACGAAATTCTATCAGAATTCGTGATAAGATCATGTTAATATGAAAAGAATGGAGAGATGTTGATAATGATAAATGTGTAAATACAGAATTCTTAAATTCTATCATTCCTCACAGCAACTGAATCATGATGATAAAAGGCTTTTATTCGAATAAATATTTTTGTTTCTAAGTGAATTTATTTGATTATCGAATAACATTCAAAATATGTCAATATTTTTGTTATTTGTCAGATATGATTAACTTGTATGGTTAGGTACAATGCATCTTCGACGAAAAATCAACCATTGTCGCACCTTCAAACAAGCATGTAGACTATGACAAATAAAAAGTTTTAAACCAACTGTTAATCCACCATACAAGCCTAAAAATGTTGTAAATATGTAGAGAAAATTGTTTCTTCTTACAAAAGTATATGTACACATCGATGGTGTACAAACTGAGAAATAACTTGAATAATTAGTTTCATGTTGCCATGCTTCTATAAACAATTCATCAATTAATGTATCCACGAGTACTGATGATATTGGATTGAAACGAGAATACATGAAAATGTTGAGAAACGATGTAATATTATATATCATATTACTGAAGTTAGATAATTTCTGTAAACATGTTAAGTCATAGAGACATTCTAATGTCGAAAGACGTAAACCATAAATAGATAAACAACCAATAACAAAACCTATAAAAAGATTAAAAAATTTTCCTAGGATAAATCATCATCTTTTGTGTTTATTTTAGTTATTTACAATTTAAAACGAAACAGTTGCAAATATTTTTTTCTTGATTATGAAAGAGAGGTGGTTGTTAGTAACAAATGAATACTCGTAGAATATGCTTCACTTGATATTTTTCCAAATCCATCTCAAATGCTAGCGTCAAAATGAAAATATCTTGAAAATAAATTTTAAAACTAGCTTTGATAATTCTATGAACTGTTGAAAGCAATTATCAAGATATTGATTGTCTGATATGGTGATGAATATGAGATTTAATTAGACGTAGAATTCTACTCGTCTCTTGATTGAAAATATTTTATAATAGGAAAAAAGGCTTTTCGCTAGACAAGTGTAAGATCATTTCCGCTTGTAATGAGTGAAATTTTTCGGATATCGATTTCATTCGAGAGAAGAAATTTTCAGAAATGAATGATATTACATTTGAAATGCTTCTTCAATACTCGATTTTTTATGTACATAGTTGGTAGAGAGTTGCGCGTAGTTTTCTGACGGGGAGAATTCGAACTCGATCAAATTCGGGTTCAGTTGCAAGTCCAAAAATCTTTAGCCCAACGGGTTCTAGTTGCGCATCATCAATCATTATTATAAATAGAAATTATACCTGACAACATTACTGTCTTGTTATAACGTGGCTGCACATGAACATGAAGTATTAGTACTGTTGTATGTTATTGGATCTGTTGTCATCAAATAATACTCATTATATGATGATAAATGAAGATTCCAATTTTGTTAAGAATATATTATGTAATTGATTAGCATAAAGCATATCTATGATATAATTATGAATTTGTCGAAAATTGATTGGTGCTTGATTAATAAAATTCTCAATAATAGAATCAATTTGAATTTGAAAAGAATGACGAGTTAATAATTCTACATTTATAAATTGTTCTGAATAAAATACTTTAATTTTTTGTTCAATCATAATTTTTGCAAGAGAACAAAGTGATACTAAAATATTAAAATGTAAACTTAATATTTTCATATCGACATCATAATAATAACTTTCAAGTGATTCATTGTCCCATAATAATTGAATGAAATTTGATGAAATAAAAACACTTGAACATATTTGATGATAAACAATTGGTTTAATAGAAATAAATTTAGAATATTGAATGGATATTCGAGAACATGAACATGATAAAGATGATGAATATTGAAGTTGTAATTGTTCAAATATTAATTCTGTTGGAGATGATACTTTTATGGATTGTATTTGTGAATTTAATCCAGTAAAAGTTACTATAATTATAATGGCGAAGATGAAACAAAATGATATACAATCGAGTAGCTATTTGTTGACGTCGTATAATTGAAATTTCATCTGTTGTTTGTGATATTTCTTGTAAATGAGTATTCTTCATCTTCCGATAGAAGTTAATTGTTCGAATAAACCGTTGAAGTTGAGTAAGATAAAGTGATATTTTCTGACGAATACCTTAGAATATGAAGAAAAACAAAACAAAATGGTTTTTTTCTTTATGAATAATTAGCAATTCAAGATATTAAGTAGAGGGTGTGGGTGTGGGTGTGGGTGGGTGACGGTTAATAAATTTACATTCACACCCACACCCTCAATTGCACTTGTACGAGTCTTGACTCGCTAATGAGAGCATCATCAAATTGCATATCTCTTCACTGTTTTATGAAGTTTCTATTGCATAATATTCATTCTTACCTCCTATTTCAACGACCATTTCCCTTGGCACACATGTTTGAAATCTATGACATTGACGATATATTCTCCGAAGTAATATTACAATAGGAGGAATCAATATTCGAAGTACAGTAGAAAGACCACCAACTATACCGAGTAGAGTTGCAATAATATACGCTCTATTAAAACGTTCTTCATAAGTATAAAAGCATTGATTTGGTGCACATTGATTATAATAAAAACTAAAATTAGTAGAATTTGTCCAATATTCTATAAATAATTGTGAAACACTAGTATTCAATTTAGTATCAGGAGAAGATCGACTATTAATTGTTGAATCAAGTGCAGTAACATTGAGAACACGAGGATCAAGAGTAGTTTCTATTCTATCAAATGAATACTAGTCAATAAACATTTAAATACATGATGCATTATGAAAACATTTAAGTGAAGATGCAAGAAGAGATTCAACAAATAGACAACTGTCAATAAAACCAGGTATCGTTTTATTTGGTTTAGAAGAAGACAGGAAACAATCTCCATACCATCTACAAAAAAAAACCTTCAGAAGCAACACAAGAACCATCCCTGCCGCATGAACAAATGTTGTCCCAATCATTGTTTGATACAAAATGATGTGAATCCATTAGACTACTTAATGTTCTACGTAATACAGTATTATTACTATCAGCAGTAATAAATTAATTTAATTGAATCGAAGTACGAATAAGTTGAAATAGATCCAGAAAATAAGCTAAGGTCTTAAATAATCAAAATATATCAATAAATTCAAATGAAAAAGTATCCAGACTGGCATCTGTATGATGTATTCGGTAGAATCTTCAATCGTCATGTAAAATTGCATGAATTTAGATACTCAAAATCTGATAATCTCACGTTGAAAACAGCTTTTCGCGAAGTATTCCTATGACTGTTTTCATGGGAAGTGACATTTAAAGGTTTTGGTGGTAGAGTAATGATTTTACATAGCTAATCTTCACTTTGTCTACATAGATCTACATGTTGTGCATTATTTGAGTATTTCTGATCTTGGAAATATTTCGGCCATTACAGAATATGACTATCTTGATACTTTAAACATAGGATTTATCAGATGTACTGTGACAGTCACAGTAAGTATCTATGATGCTCTACAAAATCAAGCTCCGATTAAGATCAAACTAACATATTTCAAAGAAAATTTATTTCGAGTTTCATTCTTATTAAGATAGACTCCTAACTATTTTTGTAATGATCAATCAAAATATCTGATAAAAAAAAAAGTATTTTCAAGTAATTTTTACCAATGAAGTCTGATCATCAACTTTATTGAAACAAAGTCACATCAATCGAAGATCATATTTAGGTTCCTTTTGAGATGATCTATCGAAATCATACTGGTATTTACTTTCATTTTCTGACAAAATTGTTTCGAGTTTTTTCAAATTTTTGTGCGAGTAACACAGTACTATATTGAAAAGTGCATGAGCAGTGCATGAAGAATTTATGGTCGTACACATCAGTTTACATTTTGTTTCAGTAAATTTAACCGTCAAAATGATATTTGTAAGAATTAAGCGAAGAAAACATTTTTATCAGATATTTTGATTGATCATTACGAAAATAGTTATGAGTCTATCTCAATAAGAATGAAACTCGAAATAAATTTTTGTTTGAAATATTTTACGTCAAAAGTTTTACCAACACTTGAAGTTTGATCTTAATCGAAGCTCAATATTATAAAGCACCGTTGTCGTCATTTTAATACTGACGTGTTGAACATAGGAAAATGTAATTATTATTCTTTTTCTTTTAGATTTTCTCGCACTGATATGGTGAGGAAGTCCAACTAGAGCCCATCGAGTAGAATCGGGATCCGAATAGAAGAATCTTTTTTTGACCGGATCCAAAAATATTAGACCCAACAAGCTTTACATCACGATTGCTGCATGTTGCAGCACAAATGAATCTATACACGAATGTGTTTACGAACAATTTTGTATTACACAAAAACCTAATTTCTACCGTTGACACAGTTTGTGTCATATATGAAATTATCTGTTGGTGGACGCTAGGACAACTTGTCGCGTGTTTTTGAATGAGGGTATGATTGTTGAGTGGAGTGTGAAACTTTTATGTAAAGTCACCAATACCCTAATCAGAACGATTTTGTGCACAATACAATCATCATCCGCATATCGTTATACACGAACATACTGAAAAAGAGCTACTGTAAGAACCAAAAAGCGTGTTGTGTACGCTAGGAAACTTGAAAGTTTTCGTACATGATATGGAATTTTAAAAGGGTTTCGCAAATCGCAAAAAATTTTGAACGTTTTTTTTTTGAAGGATTTATAGGAAATATTCGAAACAGTTAAAAATTTTCTTAGAATCTTGACAAGTCTTGAGGGTAATTTCCCAGTGAAAAATATTGACCAAAAGAAAAAAGGTACAGAACGCGTTTTGATTCAAAATAATGAATAACGAGTTCTACTGTTTTATGAAAATCTTCTCACCATTGCAAGGAATAGAAAACTTTCTATTCCTTGAAATTCCTTTCTGGTGAATTATTTATACGAAAATAAGGAGAAAAAGAAATTATATTCTGTGAAAATCTGTATTCTTTATACTCTTTAGACATAGGCAGATAACTCGACTTTATTTTACTCTGCAAAATAGGCTTTAAAATCTAAAATAGTGTTTCTCAAGTATAAAAACTCGAAACCTTTCCTATGAAATATCTCTGAAATTCGTAAGATGAGAAAAGGTCTGGTATGAAAAATATAAAACCGTTCAAGTTTGGTAGGAACTCTCACACAATTCGTAGTAAACTCCAAGGAATCTGTCCAAAACTCTAAAGCCTTCTGATCAAACTGGAATAGTTTCGTATCTATTGTGTCGAACTTTTTTTTCTCATCGTACGGATCTTAGACAATTGTCATATCAAAGACGTAGTCAGTGTCAGCAGGAAGAAATATTTTAGATTTCGAAGCTACTACAGAACGTAAAAGAGGTTCGTTATTAAACTAATCTTTTTTTTTTAGAGTGTAAAGTACAATCAAAATGAAGAAAATACATGATGCAGTAGTGCCAGGATTACGTAACTATAGGAGAGAATAGAGTAAAAATTAAAAAGACTTAAATTCCACATCTATAATACTCTTTTCTTGACTGTGCGGAATTGATTTTGTCTATCGTACATTGTACTCTCTATTGTGTATTTATATCTCTGATATCTAACATATTTGAGTAATTACTAATAAAATAAATATAATATTTTCCTTATCAAATACTTGCTGTTGAAATTGTTGAATAAATTGCGATGTTTGTGTGTCAAATGTAGTTTTTGGTAAAACTTTATTATTAACAAATTGTAAACTATTAAAAACAGCAAGTTCATTTGTTACTGCTTCCATTGACAGGTTGCATCATTTTTGAAGCATAGAGAATGTTGTAGAAGTTCTAATACGAAAATCTCGACTGTTGGTAAAACTATTGATGCTAATAAGGTTTCATATATATGATTGATGAATAAGATACAAATAGACGAGTACATGGACATGTAAGTGTTGAAGAATATTGCTTGTATAGTCGTTCATATTTATTCATTGACGGTTGATAAACAGTATTTATTTGAATATAAACTGTAAGCAATGAATAGAAAACTAACACGAGTACTCCAATAATGAATGATAAAATAAAAATACGTGTTGAATAAATTCCATCAATGATATCAGATAACAATGGAAACATATTTAATATAAGACATTTCTGATAAATTTTATTTATATAAAAATTAAACCATTGCTTGAAATCTATAAAACGAAATATATTAGTAGTCAAATAAAGTAGAAACTCACTTTGATTTCTCTCATTTGTATTCTGAACATTTTTCCAATTTTGAATTCTTCGAATGAATATGACTAATGCCAATATAGAAAAATACAAAATCGTCTCAAGACCTCAAAAGAGACTTACGATAGTAACAATGATATAAAATAAATTGAATCATCGATTATACGAATATGTACATCAATGTGGAGAACACATATGAAAATAACCAATAAAATTGATCACTGGATTCCATGATTCAATAAATAATTGATCAAATAAATTATTTACTGTTGTATTTTGTTCGAAACGAGATCATAAAACTGGTTTGACTAATGAAAAACCTTTCATAAATATTTGAATTTGATCAATACATGATTGATTATAGAAACATTCTAATTTTGATGCCAATATAGAATTATATGGTAAACATCCAACCATAATACCAGGTATTGTTAATAATAATCGTGCATCATTAGGCAAACTACCGAACAACAGTGGTACTTGTAGGCCTACACGTTCTGTCACATTGTAAATACCAGCTTGATGTACACAATTGTTATTTAGTGAACAAGTACATGTTTTATTTCCATTTGTATATTCAGATATGAAGAAAATACTAACTTCGGATCCAGGTACAGTATTAATATAATAGTTCGTACGCAATCCTGAAATGATTCGATTTTGAAAAATATTAAACCAAAGAAAATCATTTATATGTTTGATATATGCCATAGTTGTTGCTTTTAATTGTTCAATTAGTGCTTCTATTTGAACATTGAATATATCATAAAATAAAGCTTTATTAGTGAATATATATTTTCTAGTAAATTCTTCTAAAGCATCAGATACCATTTGTTTAACTGTTCGACATAGTAAAGTAATTATTTGAAAATGAAATGCTGTCATAATACGATAATCTAATGGATAATAATTACTCATATTATATTCAATTACAGATGAAATAAATGTTTGATTCACAAATTGACTTGTACATATTGGATGATAAGTTCTGTTGAATGACAGAAATTGATCATGTTGAATTGAACTTCGTGTACATGAACATGAAAGTGTTGTTGGATATTTAATAGATAATTTTTCAAAATTATTTTCATTTGGTGATTGAATAATTACAGTAATTGTACGAACACTATAACTGTTGAAAACAACAACAATGCTGAGACTAATGATCAATAAAGAAAGAAATATTTTTGTTGCACGTTATTGTTCTTCAAGAGTTAGTTCTTCATTATCATCGAAAAGATTTATATTCCCTAGACTGAAAGGCTAGGGTCTAGAAACCGAAATTCACCTGTGTCTGTCTGTCTGTCGGTAACGCGGTCAAAATGGTCATTTTTTTTGGCACAAATGACCAATTTTTTGGCAAAAGTGACTATTTTTTTTGGCACAAACGACCATTTTTTGGCGCAAACGACCATTTTTTTGGCAGAAATGGCCATTTTTTTGGCACAAATGACCATCTAAAGACTGAAGTAAATGAACCCATAATAATCATGGGTAAAATGTCAATGGAATAACTATAATTCGGGTAGTGGTGTAAAACGGCTTACAAAAGCATTTAATTAGTGAGAGCCAGACGAAATGAGCAGTTTGAATTTAAAGAAATCGTTTAAATTAATCATTATTGTAGGATTGATTGTGCAATGTTGTATCAATGAATATCTAATTTATTAATAGTTTAGAATTAATGCCCGAATTTAAGCATAGTCCATTCAAAACTTTTCGAGAAAATAATATTAGAAAGAGTAAAGGATTACGCTGAAAACTAAGAGCCTAATTCCAGTAGAACAATAAGGTTTTTGCTCTGGTTGTCAACCATCTACAAGAGTTCCATCTATTTATCAAGAGGTAGTAGACATATATATTAGCAAATGTTACAAAAATTCGTAATATGTGTGGGTTATCAAAAGGCATACGAAAACTTATGGCATAAGGGTCTTTTGGAAAAAAAACAAACCAAAAGTGTTTTGTACACCTGTTGTATTATCTCAAGAAAGTACCTTAAGTCCATGTTGTTCATTACTCACCACTGTGATCTCATAGCTAATATAAGACCGCACTCCAGCCATATGTTTGCAGATTAATTTATGTAAAACTGTAGTGCAAATGTTTCACTCCTGAACAAAACAACCAGTAGGTAATATTTTCATTAAAGATTTCAAAGTTGAATCAGTTAAACAATTCAAACATCTAGATTTTACTTGAAAGAACAAAATGTCAGTGAAACTAATGATTGATAAATCACTTGAGAAGGGTATGGAATAGTGTGGAAGTCGAATTATAGACGAAAATAGCACCCACAAGCAGACCATCTATCTTGAGAGTGAGGGTGTGGATCTCGTGAAAGAAATTACTGTCATCCTCACCTACACCCATATGCTGAGAATAGCATATACTAATTTTTCAATCGGGGAATCTTTGCGGCAAAGATTGAACTGACTCCTCTTTGTGATAGTGATATGAAATCTCTTATTGCAAGACTCTATTCCATTACACGAAACTTAGATCAGTTTTGTTCGTTTTTCACGATCTCAATCAAAGAAAAATATATAAATCTGTTTAAGATTTTGGTTATAGAGACAAAATTTTAATATCATGCGTACCGAACTGTTTTTGAATATGATCTGAAACCTATGGTCTATCCTTGCCTATAAATTTTCAATACTTCGTCACTATAATGAAACTTTTTTCATCGTTAATATTAGTATTGTAGTTCGAACTGAACAAGATTATAGATCTATATTCAAGTATTAATACTTATCAGTGAATAAAATAATGATGAGATCAAATATTGATCATTGTACGTTGTGTCTAACTTATCAAACTTTTCAATATTTCATTTTCACTTTAGTATTTTATCATTTGATCGGATCTTATGTTTAGTCGAATAAAAGTAGATTGATTCGAGAAGAAGTTTCATCAATCTTTTCATCTCATGTTATTGCAACATCTTGATACGTATAGCATGCCGCTTAGTTTCTTTAATTTTTGAAATGGAAAATGACGTCAAAGCTACTGTTCACTAATGTAGGTATCTGAACAAGCAAAATAGATGATAGAAATTGCCTAGAGAGGTAATGAACATCGATATAATAAAGCAGTGCACAGTAGGATAATGCTTCATCCACAACTATATCGAGAATTGTTATTAGCTAAAATATGAATACACAAAAAACTAATTTAACTACTCTAAGTAGGACTTCTATCGAAAATTTTTACAGCATCTTTTTTGTATCTAGTCGATTTAGAACTAAACTGGAAACGTTACTACAAAATTTAAAGAGTTTATGGACTAAGATATTCTACAAATATTTTGCAGGATTAAGTTGAGTAAATATTCATAGAGGAGATTAAAGACTATGAAAATTTTCCAAACTCCAGAGGACTATTGACAGTGATCATGTTGAACATCTGGCTACACAGATAGAATTTGATTAGTTTTCATCCCTTTTGTTGATGAAAGATGTATGACTTCAACACTTATATAAATAGAACTATATATTATTATTATGTGCTGAAAATAAGAAAACAGAATTATGATATTTTATTTAACTGTTAGTTTTTGAAATCTGAATATTGTCTTTGAGATTTTATTCTTAGAAAAATACATCAGCATATTTTAAAACATATACATAGAAAAATGATGAATTCTTTTTAACAGGTAAACTTATCTCTTTTGTTTTGTGCATTCTTGCAGTATCCATCCGGTTGAAGATTTCTGTTGGACAGATAAAAAAAATATGTCTAAAATCTAGTAGTTGCTTATAAATTATTTCTTTTTCTATACATTCGAATCTGAGAGTACGAGAACTGATCTTAAGAAAAATCCACACTCATATTTACATCTTCGTCCTCCAAAGATGAAATGAGACAGAAACAACTTCATCTTTTAACTAAAATATATCGTTTTTCGGCACTGAAAATTTGATCATTACAAACCTTTGTTGACTTCGAAGGCAAAAATTATAATTATAGAAAAAACTATCTTGTATAAATTGTAGAGGTTTGTATAATGCATCTTGTGGTATATTTTTTCGTTTTCCTCATACAGCATGTCAATTTGTGATGAAATCGAATGCTAAGGTGAAGCATTTATTATGGCCTACTCGTTATATTTTGTCTTTTTAACTTTATCAACGCTTCAAATTTCCGATAATCAGAATCATCGTATAATTTATCAAGGTACGAGCTTCAAATTTTCTTGAACAAGCTGCTATTTTTTCTAGGATGCTTCTTTTATTATTATATGGAAGTGATATATTCTTATTGGAGGCATATGAAAGAGAATCAACACGTCTCATAAATCAGATTACAACAAGCGATTTTCTCAAAATCCTAGAAACAAATCATAGTATCGTCTGGATCAATACAAAGGTAACCAATAACTCTCTATAATATGCACTAAACAACACTCTGCTTTATCTCTGCAATAATCGAAAAAAAAATTATTTATACACAGGAATGGATCGAAGAAAATTTTAATAGTATGTGCCTCGAGAAAGAGTCTTCCGACTTTGCAGACTCCTCGATACAGAGAACTCTAGTCAAATTATGGAGACTATCT